GTCAGGTGTTCTGCTCTATTACTTTCCACCTCATTCCTTTGAGAGACAAAGTTGCCCGTTGCACCGGGAGCCAGGCTGGGGGCCAGCAAGCTCTAGCAACCCTCTTGTTCTGGAGTTACAGGCATGCTCTTGACCACAGCCCACTGTTTATGTGGGTGCTGGGGATGTGAGCCAGGTTCTCACACTTGTATAGCTCTCACCCACGGAACCATCTCCCCAGCCTCCAAAGTTCCTTTCTAAAATTCAGATTGCTGTTGATTAACAGTCCCCAAGGAGCTCTGGCGTACCCAACTCCGGCTGTGGCTTCTTGTCGCCCACGTGGACGATGGTACTGCTGTAGCTGCACTGGCTGGTGAGGGACACCACACTCTCCGCCTTGCCTGGCAACGTCAGGGAGCTCAAGTGAGCGCTGACCTCCGTGTGGCTGGTCACCTTGGAGTGCCGGGCTGCCTCTTGATGAGAGAAAACAGAAGCAAGCACATGCAGGATGAAAGCCACTGTCCGGTGAAGGAGCTGGAGGTTCAAGGGACCTATGGGGCCAGTGCGGGCTACACCCCCACCCCACAGATATGGTTTGTCCTCAGAGCCCAGGACCTCCGCGAGGGAAGCATCTAGATGCCTGTGGTCATGCTGAGCCAAGGTCCTCTGCTGTGTGGCAACGGTTTTTCCAATAAGCAGGAGGTGGATGGTCACTCTGTTCCACACATGACCTTCCGCTCTCTTGTGCTTCATTTAATAAATGGGACACCCTATTTATTCTTTAAAATGTATTATTATTATTATTATTACTGTGTGTGGACTCATGTGCCACTGTCCTGGAGGCCAGGAGACAGCTTTGCAGAGTCAGTTCTTCTCTCCCTTCCCCTCTGCACGGGTTCTGGGGACTGAACTCAGGCTGGCACAGCAACCGCCTTGATGGACTGAGCCATCCTGCCAGCCCTGCTCCTCTTTCTTTTTGTGTTTGAGACAAAGTCTTCTTGTATCGCCCAGACTGGCCTCCAGCTCAGCATCCTCCTCGGTCCACCCAGTCCTGAGACTGCAAGCATGTGCCACTACATCCAGTGGGATTCCCTTCTGACTCTGGTCATCACTCACAGCAGCCCGAGCTTTCAAATGGCCACGGGGCATGCTAGTGCTCACAGGCAGGGAGCCTCTCGACAGTCAAGGCAGGTGCCTGCCCCACAACGGCAGAGGCTCCACCTCCATAGGAGGGAATGGGGCTCAGAGCTGTCCCCTGGCCACCCATGGACTTTCCAGGACCGTTCTCAAAGCTTAGTGCTCTACGTCTAGACATCACCTTCGCCTATAAGAAGGGCGTTGACTTTCCAGCTACTTGGTCATCTAAAAACTTTCTGATATATGTACAATGTATGAAAAATTCATTCACGAGGGGGAAGGGGACACGTGAGGGCTTATGAAGACTTCTGACTCCATACGGGAGATTTAAGGAGTCACAGGTTAGACAGCCCAGAATGGAAAGCATACCTGCTGAGTGCAGCCCGGGGCTGACTGTGGCCTTCCGGGACGGGATGTTGGCTGGGAACTCGCACTTTCTCTTCAGGGTGGCCGCTTCATTGCAGCTCTCCAGGTACCTGTGTGAGGGTTGGAAGGCACCGTGTGGGTGGGAAGGTGTGGGTGGAGATGATGCCAAGGGCAGGGAAGGTCACAAGTGCCCTGTGTACCTGATGACACTGTCCAGACAGCTGATCTGCTGGTAGGAGCAGGGAGGCTGGTTCTTATAGGCTAGCTCCTCTGGGAAGCCGGCCTTGGGTAAGCTGGCCCCTGAGCTGTCCCTTTCTATGGTAGTGACAGCTTTCACCTGAGCTGGAGGGCTGCTTTGCATTTCTGAAACAAAACAAAACAATTTTTTTTCCATTTAATACCTTTTATCTGCCAAAAGAAACCACTCCATATCAAAGGCAGGGTAAAGGATTCATAATGTAGCAAGACAGGACCCCAGTGACAGTTGCGGGACTTCCAAGCAGGGGCTAGGAGTAATCTGTCACCCAGGCAGAGCTTGTTTTCCTCTGGGCTTAACAGCACATGCCAGGGCCACTCTCAGGGCTCAGAGCTTAGGGGGAGGAGGATGGTCTTAATATCTTGAATTTGGTGACCAATCAGACCCCGTCTCTTATCCTCCTGAGCAGGGCAGGTGAGACAGAACATACAGTCTTTCATTTGCGGCCCAAGTAATCTATCATAAATAGCTCTGTGGCCTATCCACCATTAGATATGTGCTTATTTATATGGAGACAAATTTTCACTCTGCAATCCTGACTGGCCTGGAACTTGTTATGTAGACCATACTGGCCTCGAACTCACAGAGATCTGTCTACTTCTGCTTCCGAAGTGCTGGAATTAAAGGTGTGTGCCATCACATCTGGCTTTTGTTTGTTTTTAGAGATAGGGTCTCACTAAGTCACCCACCAGGCAGGCTGACCTTAAACTATGGAACCAGGCTTGCCTTGAATTTGTATCTTTCTGCTTTAGTATCTAGGGAAGAAAGGTAGCAAGACTCAAACCACTAAACCACAGGGCCGATTTTCAAACATGACTTAGTGACAGTGAGTGTACAGCAATTGCTGCCCAGGCACCAGGCTGTGGATTCTGTTTGTGCTCACCATAGGTACCACATGCTTGCCATCCTGAGGGATCTTGAGCAATGAGCTGTATCTCACTCACTGGTGTATCCCCAACACCCAGCACCTTACTGTTCACAGTCTTGTTTTGAGAGCTGCAAGCACCTGGGCACTGTGCACAGATGTGCGTGCAGGTGCTAGGTGTATGAAATGTGAGCATGTGGTCACACAGCTACTCTGCAGAGTGAAGAAATAAGGCACCCCACTCCCTGTGGCCACAGCTCCCAGTGCACTCAGTAGGCAGGTCCTAGGGAATGGGAAACATGCACTCCACCTCCTAGGGGTCCACAGGGTAACAAGGGCGTCCTGGACAGTCGGATCTGCACTTGTTGGTCAAACACAGTGGAGCTGCCCTTATTTCTTTGCTGAGCAAGGATGGGGTAAAGCACACCCAGGAGGTGACCTTCCAGCCCTCACACAGAGCAATAAGCCAGTACCCCAGGTCCTTTCCTCTGCCATTCTAAGACACAAGCAAAGGAACGTGGGGTTTCTTTTGTTTCCTTTCCAAAAAGCAGAATAAACGTAGATTTATTAAGGAAAAGTGAGAAAGAACTCCTGAGACGGAGGAAGGAGCCAAAGGACATCTTTTTTACCTGCAACAGATGGTTCCTTGGGTTCTCCAGACTCATGAGAAAAGTGACTTTTGGTCTGAATCTTGCCACTATTTTTAAAAATTCCCTTGAAGAAAAACAATAAGGAACACGTTATTCATTCTAGGAGACCCTCTTCTCTCCATCCCCCACAGTGAGGAACAGCCAATATCAGTCGAGTAGTATGGACAATTATAACTCAGGGAACCTTCGTGTCTCTGGGCTAGAACCAGGGGCCATGCACATGCTGGACACATGATCACCAGAGACGGTACTCACTACACTCCAACCCAGATTCGGAAATCCTGTAGGAGCCAGATGGAGCTGGCGCCAGCTCTCGTGATCGACCCCCAAGGGTAGCACAGAGCAGAGGAAATGCTGATGCTTCTTCACCACCCTCCAGTTAAGCTGTTAATTCCCCTGCTCTGCCCACCGAAGTCATTTTCCTTTACATGTTCAACTACACGGTAGCTGCTTCCACTTGAAAAATGAAGTGAATCTCAGGAGAATCGAGCCAGAGAAGGCGACTGAGCCACTGGCTTCAGCCACTGCCTGGCTATTTCCCATCATGCTTTCTCTCTTAGGACATGCATTGCTGAGCTTGCATTCTCGGGGGAAGAACAGAGAGGGACGTACGGATCTCTTCCGGTGGGACTCCTCATGACCATTGCTGTCGCTGGAGGACGTCTGGCTCATCAGGTGTTCGTGGGACCCATTGCTGCCCAGACTCCCATAGCCACTGGAGCCGCTATGGGGGACAGGCTGCGGGAAGAGCAGACAGACTGCCGTGGACACGGTGGAAAGGTACACAGGAGGTCACCACGGGCCACACTGGTCTCAGCTTGCCCAAGGTCACAGAGAGAAGATAAATGGAGGGGATGTCTGGATGTCTGGCCTTCATCTATAGACATGCAGCCACCAAGGAGACCCCCTTAAAAGGAATGTGTTCAACTAGCTGATCATTGCACAGCTGAGGTCTTTTGAAGCCTATCAAAGTTTTAAAAACATAGATTCAACTACAGTTACACTTTGTATTCTATAACCAAGAAGGGACATTGACTCAGTTGTGGGACTGCCTGCAGTTAAACTGATTCTGCTGGAGTGTGACGACACTAAGTCCCAGTGCCGGTGATAGTATTTTGGGAGAGAGTGAGCCTTACACCAATGGAAATCACATTGGAACTGTATGACAAGCTGTGGGGTCTGGACAGCCTTCAACTGCTCGTTCAAGGTCATGGCTCACACGTGGAAGAAAGGCTAGGAAAACCTGAGGGTACTTGGTGGCTCTCAGGCCAACCACACTATCCAAACTTGGCCCACCTAGGCAGACAAATGGGGGCAGAACAGAACACACCTAGGGTGGCACCCACCTGCATCAGCAGCCGGTGGATTTGCTCTGTGAGCTCCTGAACGCTGGGGTGCGGAGTCTTCTCCTCGGGGCATGGAGAGGCTGCAAACACATCCTCATTCAAAGGGCCCCTGTGTGAATTTAATTCGACTCATCAGAAGGGCCTGTCTGGCCTGAATGTGGCACCCACACTGCCACTCAGGCTGGAATCTCTGTCTCCACCCCACAGACCCCCAGCTGCCACACAGCTGGGCCTGGATGAGTTCCTCCCACCCGGGCAGGTCACCCCTTGCCTATGTGCGTGGCCAGCGGCTTCCAACAGGGAGAGGGCCCCATCTTTGCCCTCTGCTGGTGGGAAGTGAGAAAAGGCCAGGACCCCTCAAAACCCAGAGTGGAACCCTGGGAGCACTCACACCCTGACTTTGTGCCTCCCGATGATGAAGGATATCTTGCGGCTCCAGGGGTTGATGAAGCTGGACCAGCTGGTGTCCAGTGTGATGTACTCCCCATTGCGGGTGCGGAATCGGATGGGAGAATAGTCGAAAGGCTGTCCGCCGGCCTGCAGGACTAGGGGGGTAAGAAACAGGTCTCAGGGCTGGTGTGGGAGGTAGAAAACAGACACGCACCGGCAGGCCAAGGTCACCTCCTCAAAGCCACTGCTTTCAACTCCCCTGTCTGCTTCAAATCACACCTGGGGTGGTTCCCAACAGAGGAAACCACCTACTTCAGGACATGAATCTCTCCGTGTTACCCACTGAGAGGATTGGTTTGGAGAGATCCCGTGCAGTCTACTCCCGAGGATGGTCAGAACCTTCCTGTCCCACAGCTCTGCTGGTCTCCTCATATCCATGGACACCAATACTATCAATGAGTTGCCAAGGGCCCTTTACGGGTTGTCTTCTCGCTAGCCCACCTAGGGCTGATGACACCAGGGCTCAGCACCCCCAGTGGTTCTGACCCCTGCCAGCACCATAGCACACAGTCTCAGGGCTGAAAGAAGACGACCTACTCTTCTTGTGGATGGCGAGCATCAAGGGCCGGTCGCTGGGGTGGAGCTGCACGAGCAGAGGTGTCTCGATCAGGTCCTGAGGTAGATAGCCCAGAAGGGGGACTGCCCTGCAAGGCAAGGGGACATGGCGGTCAGCATATGGAACACAGGTGTCGGGCAGAGACAGCCGACTCTCGGGGACGGCCATCTCAGGGAACCTCCTCGTTCAGAGACAGACACGGCTCCAAATTCCCCCAAACAGAAACACAGCAGAGGCAGCGTGTCTTTCAGCCCTGCAGCAGCTGAGGTCTCCAGCATCCCTGTGGGTCTGACAATAAGGAGGCTGTCAGCGACAGCATGGTGTTTGACCTCCCCAAAGAATACATCATGACGGCATGTTGATTCTTCTTTTTCTAATACCTTTCTAATACTGATCAGCTTGCTGTGAGTCTCAGCTGAACAGGTGCTGTCTGGAAGCTGTCCCTTCTAAGTCAGAAGATATTCCTTCTGTCACTTTGACCCCTGGGTCAGGTCATTTCCTGTGGCTCCCCTGGGAGTCCTCATGACTGGCTGGGACCCTTGCTCAGTGCCGGCCTGTGCTTCTGTAAAGTGGAGGTCCCTTGGTGGTTTGGGCTGGTCCTTGGGTCACTGTAGGGGTGGAACCGAAGCAGCCCTCTATGACTGTTCGCATCTAGCTCAGCAGCCTCACCTGCCCCAAGCATCTCCGCATTCCTCAAAATCCCCTCTGCTCCAGCGGAAGGCCCTTCTACACAAAACCTTAGACTAGAACCTTCTCGGGCTACGGAGTGACTCTGACTTTATCCTCAGTGTCTGAGGCATACTCTCAGCCTCCTGTTTCCTTTCAGACAGAGTGTACAGAATGTCCTTGGCGCCCTCCCAATACAAGCCTGGCTGAAGGAACTGGGGGAGGGGAGTAAGAAGGGGGAAAGAGGAAGAGGATGAGGAGCCGGGGAGGAGGAGGAGGAGGAGAGGAAAGGAGGAACAAAGCTAAGGAGGAAGGGCCCTATGCCTGCCCCTGACCGCAGGGTTCCGTGAAGGGGCCCTGGCGTAGGTTCCACTCACGAGGCAGAACTCTGCAGACTGCTTCCCACAGGCACTAGCCTGTCTACTTGCCTCACAGCTGGGGCAAAACATGTGGCAGTTTGCACACAGTCCTTAGACCTATGCAGTAATGGTAGCCTCTTAGGTGGCTTTGTGCACTCAGCCCGGGATTCTGCATCTGATACTGTCCCTCTGGTACCTGGGCCACAGGGGATCTGCACGACATACCCAGCAACCTAGGCCAGGGCTGGCAGATCTTTGGCTGCCTACAGAGCAGAACCTCCCAGCAGGCAGTGCGGCATGACTCTGAAAAGGGGACCTGTGACCCTGGCCAGGTAGACAAAGGAGGAGGACCCAATCCTCCAGAATCTAGGGGGTGACTTGATCTGGCTCTCTGTCCACTTCCTGTGGGTTTTTTGAGGACACGTTTCTCCAAACAACTCCCGACAGCCAGTTGATTCCCATCTCTGCATCTGTCAAAGAGCTGGGGGAAGGCACACGGCGGACCACAACCTGCTCAGAACCAAGTACTTTTGAGTCCTCCAGGCCTGCTCACACCAGCTGTGGTACCCACCCTCCACCGCAGGTTCAGAGAGACAACCCGAGGAGCTGAGAAAAGGTGTGGAGGGACCCTGGAAGACAGGTTCCTGCTGAGGTCCTGCCAATGGCATCTCCCCGTCATTAGCCCTTGGCACCCCATCCCTGACGGTACCATCACCCCCTAGACAGAGTTTAAACAGGGTGATAAAGGCAGGCACAACTGAAATCATCTCCAGTTCTCCAGAAAGCCCCATTTATAATGTTCATTTCTTATAAACTGTGGTGTTTCTTTTCTTGCTTTCATGTTTTTGAAGTAGGATCTTGAACTCCCGATTATTCCTGTCTCAGCCTCCTAAGGGCTGAGATCACTCTGTGCCACCACAGTTGCATCTTAGGAACTCTGAGTGTAATTTCATTGCCTGTATGGTCATGTGTCCTGCAATAGTGGGGCAGAATCTGAAAAACGCACCATTAGGCAATTCTGTCGTCATAGGCAGTGTCAGGAAACAAAGCCAAACCCGCCCAGCACAGGTTGGTCACCAGGTGTGACTGCTGATGCAATCAAGAAACCCAGGGCCCACAGAAGTGTAGGCTGCTACAGGGCACCCCAGGGGAACACCTGCTAAAGCGACAAGGCGTCAATACATAAGCCAGAAGCACGGTGCTGTACCGTGCACAGCGAGGCCACTCTAACTGCCTCAGGATGGCATTATGACAGCCTTGTCACTAGGTAACAGAATCACAACAGTGTCTGTGGTCTCACTGAGACATCACTGGGTCGCAGAACAGTGCAGTCATACATTTTTGTTGATTACTGTGTAGACAAAAATAACATGAAACCTTGTCTTCAGCGACAATGTCAAAAGCAAAAAAGTTCAGCTGTACACCTTTAATTCCAGCACTCGGGAGGTGGAGGCAGGTGGATCTCTGAGTTTGACGCCAGCCTGGTCTACAGAGTGAGTTCTAGGACAACCAGGGAGGTTACACAGAGAAACCTCATCTTGAAAAACAAACAGACAAAAAAACCACACACACACCAAAAAACTAAAACAACAACAGCAAAAAAGCCAAAAAGTTCATTTTTATCTCTCTGGTAATTACTGAGACAATGAGGAGACACTGAGCATGTGTCGCAGCATTGACATGACGATGGCCCCTGGCTCCAGACAAGTGACAGTGGGAGGCAGGTGTGAACAGTGGGACACGACTCACCTTTCATCCACATCCTGGAACAAGCAGTTTGGTGTATGCGTTGTTGTAAAAATTCTCTTCTCGGGAGGAATCCTAGGGGCTGAAAGAACAGAATTCCCACTTGTAAGAAACACACAGTTCCATTTTGACCAGGGAAAAAACCACAAGGACTGAGAGTACGGGGCAGCCAATGAGAAAATGAGAAGGCAGATTCAACAACTGAGCCACCATACTGAAATCAGGGCGGGGGCCCAACCAGTCGGCCACTAGCAGCCTCCCGACCTCTCTGGGGCGGCCAATGGGAGCTGCCATGCTACCTGAGACCTGTGGACCCAGGACAGAAGACCACCTTCATGGTGCATAGGATGAAACTACAATGACCTTTAGAAAAATGAGTCACAAGTTATAAGTTTGGACTTATAGTTTGCCAATGCCACTGCCCTGAAGAACTTGACAGTTTCCAGGGTGGCCAAAGACAGAACATTCCACACAGGAAGTCATATATCCAGTGTTTTCCTCAACCACCAATTCTAAAATCTTTGGTTCTTGGAGGACACTCATAATTTGGGATTACAACTTGTTCCTCCTGTCTACATTCTTAATGAGCATTTGGAAGAGAATGTTCTGGATGCAGAGATACACCACAGTGCTAGAGAAAAATCATGTTAGAACACACTATCACTTTTAGGAGGTGCTTTGTAAAAACAAAACAAAAACCTCATGCGTAATCAAAGATGGCAATTCCAGGGAAAGCAGTCTAAATGTTCCTGGGGTAGGGTGGGGCTACCCCTCAGGGGATCTGAAGTCCTGCGACTCCAGAGTTGATACACAGAAAACAAACAGCTTCGGGCTAGAAAACTGGAGTAGCCACAAGGCCGTGGTATCAGAAAACAGTTGCTTAAGAGGGATCCCAAGAAGGCAATCGGGATGGCACAGCTTCCCTTGGGCTCCATGATTGTCAGGAGGCAGGGTGGCCTAAGGAGCCCTTCGTGGTGGGACAGCATTAGGACAGCTGGATGGCCATAGGCTGAGCTGCGGTGAAAGCCAGGCAGAGGGAAGGCGGTCCAGACGGAAGTCAGGATGGGCCAAGGCAGGAACGAAGATGGCCCAGCACTGGAGGCTGAAGGAGTAAGTGGGGTCCTGGGGGTGCTGAGATGTCACGAGGCAGAGGCCAGGATGAGGGACAAAGACGGGAGGGATATGGGGCCTCGGATCTGTCAGGGCTGGTGACACTTTGTAGATCAAAGGCAGCAGGGCTAGGGGAGGGGAGAGGGGACATGGGTAGGGACACAAGTGCCTTGGTGACTGTGGGGAGAGCCAGATCACAAAGAGAACTGACTGTGCTGAATTTAGGGGAGATGGAGGCGGACAAGGTGAGGGAGACGCCAAGGCGGATGAGCAGCTGGGTACTTTTTAGACATCGCGTGTGGACCACAGGCAAGGATGGGCTAACACGGGTGCTCCCTGGTCAGGCGTGGCTGTACCTTCATAGCCCGAGTGTACCCTCTCTGCCAGCAGCAGGCAGCAGAGCTGGCTCTCGGTCCCCTGCTGCTCTTGCACCTTGGCCAGGTAGGGTGTCATGCGGAAGGGCTGGTAGCGAATCTCGTTCTCGTGGTGTTTCCCAACACTGGAGAGAGAGGTGTGGAGAGGGGTGAGGGTCCAGGCTCTGAGCCGTGACAAAGAAAAGCCTTGGCCTGCTGGTAGCCCCACCCCTGGCTGTTTGTGAGGGCTAAGCAATTCTTCCATTTATTGTACCAGATGCCAAGGGTGTTGAGCCAGGGCCGCCACAGCAAAGTCTCTGGTGGGAACCTAGGCCAGGCCGGAGGCAGCACACAGCTGTACCCACTGGAGAAGCTGGCCCGTGCTCACCCTTAGCCTTCTCCATTAGACCCACACTGAAGGGTCAATGGTCAGAGTCCACACAACGGGCGGCGGGAGGCCTTCCATCCTTTCTCCTGAGCAATTTGCAGTTAGGTTAGGACAAAGCAACTAGAAAATGGAAGTTGCTTCCTTAGAGGCGTTCTGGGCCCAACTCTCCTTGGGGTCATGGCTGACCTTGTCCCGGATGCTCAGGTGGTCACCAAGAGCCTGCAAGGAACACTGTGACTCTAATCAAAGAAATGCAGGTGCGCATTCAGAGCTAGTGCAACGCCTGGCCCACGGCCCTAGAGAATGTCTTCCTCAGCAGCAGAGGGCCAGTGCGGGAACTCGGGGAGGGGAGGGGGGGGAAGAGCAGGTTGATTTACCCACTTTGCATTCCCTTTCCACAGGTATCTTGTAACTCATTCAAGTGAGTTTCACTGCAGACACTGTGTCTGGTCTCACTCTCAGTGTGTATGTGTGTGTGTGTGTGTGTGTGTGTGTGTGTGTGTACGTACAATACATATTGCTTTCTGAGTTAGGAAGACTGAACTTACCTGACACGGCAGAAGAAAGATTTCTCTTCCATGCACTCTTGAGTGAAAGAATCTACAAGAAAAACCCAGAGTCATTCACCCAAGTCAACAAACACAGAGTCAAATGGAGGTGTACATTGTGAGCTGGGCCAAGTACAAAGTGAGTCCTTCACAGAGATTTTTAGATTCAATTCAATTCCAAGGTGTGCTGTACACCAAATTACACTGTCCTACAAGTTTACAGCCACGGCTTTAGGAGTTTTGTTTTTTCTTTTTGAAACAGGGTTCTGCTAAGTAGCCCTGGTGGGCCTGGAACTCGAGACAATCCGTCGCCTTCTGCCTCTCTAGTGCTAGGATTACTGGCAAGAGCTAACAAATGTGTGACCGACACACTGGCAGTTCAGCTGCAGAAGACACACTACTGCGTGTACTTATGGACAAATCCCTGAGCATTTACACGGCCACTTCTGAAATACTCGCTTCTAATAGAAGGGACACAAGGCATTTGAAAATATCAACACTTGGTAAAATATCAACTTACTTTTATATCTACAATGTCTTGGGAAACGTGAGTTCGCTGGACCTCACGTCAGGGAAGGGAAGCAGGTGTCTCTATAACAGTTTGAAGGTTACAAAGACCTTAGACTTCAGCTTACAAACAGCATTTCTTTCATTCAAAAGAAATGAAGAAACACAGGAAATGACCAGTTACAGAAAACGATACAGAATTAGCAGCCTGCAAAGCCCCCTGTGAGGTGGCCAGGTTCTCTTTCCTATTTAGACCATACTTTGGCTGTCCATCCACATGCCAAGCCATGTCCTTTCCACAGTCCTGAACCATGCCCCCATAACTCACACTGCGAATGTTTAACAGTCAGCCCCGTCTCTGGGTTTAGGAGAAAGTAGACAACCTCCTTCAGAGGAAACCCTCAAACAAAAGGTGCGTCTACCCCAGGCTGCCTGCTGCAGGGGTACATTTGTCACGGTGGAGGACAGAGTGGCAGTGTCCAGCTCTGATGCTGACAGAACAGGGATGGGGAGGAGAGGAACTCCTCACGCTGGCCAGATTCCAGTGGTGATGTGACGACAAGGGTCGAGAGGCCGTTGTGTGAACAGAGATCAGTGACCTGCCGGCCCCAGACAAAGACAGCAATCTGGGTTCCGTCCTCGCTCCTCAGGCTCCTCAGAAGCTACAACAGTCTTTAGTTCAGCTTCCGCTCTGGACATTAAAAGCCCATAAGGGGCTGTGATCGTCCGTCAGCCATGTGTGGACAGACACCAAGGAACTCTTTTGCTGGCTAGCCTTGTCTATGATGGTGGAGGCTAGCTCCCCCTCAACCCCCACTGCCAGTGGCAGTGCTGTGACCCTGGAAGCATGGTAGCCCCCCCCCAGGGTCAGAGTCTTCACAGTAAGTTGGCAGAACAGAACAAAGCTTTGCAAAGTTCAGCCACAAGGGCAGGAGAGAGGGACTGCCAGTGTGGTGGGACCCAATGGTCACGGTAATCCAGTCCCAAGTGAACTAAAGCACACCTGCCAACTCCTCCGAGGGACTCAGTCACCCCTTAAAGACCAGTCACTCGGCGTTTCACAAGTGACCCTACAGTTCAGCATGAGTCTGAGAGGGACAGCCCATGTCGAGGCCACAGGTGGTGGCTCAGCTGGCTTGCCACAGCTCATGCTCTTCTCACAATGCAAACGATAATCAATTCCGTCCCATAGTCTCTAGTGCCGACCTGAAAGTCCCAAGTCCAACCGTGAGCTCAGACTAACCATCTGCTTTAAGGAAAGAGGGTTTTGGATAGGCATGCTGTTCCAGAGGAAGGCCGGACAGGAGGAAGGGTGATAGCCTCAGGCAAGTCTGAAATCGGGGTCCACAGACCTTGTCCTAAAGCTGTAGGGTCCATCATGTTTCCCCAGGGACCACCTCCTGCACACTGGGTACGAGTGGGTAAGACTGGGTTCCCAAAGAACCAAGCAGCCCCGGACCCATGGTTTGCTGGGCTCAGTCCAGCTTGGGCTGTTAGGGTTGCCTATGGCTTTCCTGGGATGTGTGGCTTGCCCCTCTCTGGTAGCTCTGATAGCTGCTCTGGCTTCCCAGGGTGGCAGCCCCTGCCAGCGCTGCCTGGCACAGCCTTGGTCATATTCTCTGTATCATCTCTGCCCTGTGGCCCAGGAAGCCATCATCTTCCTGTCTGCAGAAAGGACCCTGCCAAGGCCTAGGCTTACAGCCCCTGGAGCAGAGGCAGGGCCATGGCCAGAGCTGGAGAGAGCCAAGTGTGGATGCAGGGAGCAGAGGCATCCTTGAAGATCTCTGATGCGCTTTCAGGGCTTTTCCTGGGGTGAGGAGGTCATCTCCTGTTCATCTCCTACCCATGGAAACCTTTAGCAATCTGCTTGGCTGCAGGCTGCATTCCTTTCCTCTCTGTACGTGGCCAGACTGCGATAACTCCCTCCACACTTCCATCAGCAGGCCGGCCTCAGCCACGTATGCAAATCAGAGCTTTTCCCCAGCAGTCCTGTCTGCCCCGCCCCCACACCAGAACTGCTCTCAACACTCAGGCCTTTCCTGGTCTTCACTTGGAAACCCTTCAGCTGCTCCCCACTCCCAAGTTCCAAGTCGGTCACTGCTTTTTCAGGTACCTCTGCAGCAGCACCCAGCTCCTGGCACCCGGACTGTTTCAGTCTGTTTTCCGTTGCTATGACAATCGGTCACAGATGACTTAGGAGGAAGCTCATGGTTCTAGAGGCCGGAAAGTCTGACAGCACAATGTAAGGATGGTAAGGATCGGCTGAGCTGATGGGGAGGGCCACACACTGCTTCCAGTCACAAAGGGAAACAGTGTGGAGGACACTAGGGACAACCTTGCTTTAGAGTGACCTCGGTGCCAGGTGAGACTCTGACCCAGGAGAAAGGCATTAGTCCCTCTTCATGACCTCATCACCTCAAGGTCCCACCTCAGTACTGTGACATCAGCAAAATCCAGCACAAGTTTTGGAGGGGACAAACCACACTCAAACTACAACTGACTGATGGGGGGGGGCGGGGGGGTGCAGTGGAGCCGGAAGGGCACAAGGAGAATGCCTGGATCCAGGGAGAGAAGGCGTAGAGTGGCCTGGATGCCAGATAAGAAGGGCTGGGCCAGGGCAAGGAGCCTGGACATGGGTGGAGCACACAGGAGGCATACACACTTGCTAGTGAGCAGGGAGAGCGCCTTGCAAGCCCAGAGAGCTTATAACCTACACTTCTGGACCTGCCTCCAGCCAAGGTGAAGAGCCCCGAGAAGTCACCCTGACAAATGTCACACCTGTCCATTATGGCAGCTGAGGCCACAAGGGGATTAACTGCCTGCAGGAGGCTGGCGCGCCACTTACCATTCCTCGGCCTTGCAGGATGCACCCCATCTCCCCACATTGTAGTTATGTCAGGGTTCCTGACATACTCAGCATAACTTCATTTTAACAATGCCTGATTTTGAAATCTCTCTGGCGTGTACCACGAGTTGGCTATTTATTCTGGAGACAAACGACTGTTTGCCTCTTACCCTAGACAGATCAGTGAACGGCCGGCCGCCCATCAGGAGGCTCCGTGGGCCATTTTGACATAGCTGAGATGGGGGCCAGCTCCCAACCTCCCGCCATGCCACCAGCCTTTCTCCATGCTCCTACTCAGAGGAGACAAGGCACTGCGGCCAGGACCTCACCTAATCCACTGCACACACTCCAGGGCGGAAGTTTGTAAGGGGTGGTGTAGCTGTGGAACACACTGACATCATGGGGAGCCAGGAACTCCACAAACTTGGCGTCACTGAAGGCATCCTTCTTACAGTGAAAAATGGAGGCAACTTGGTTAGAGATGTACAGGATCTTCCCAGACACCAGGGACACAGCCACAGCAAACATATCCTGGAAATGGAGAACATGATCAGGTGATTATCGTCAGTAGAGACTGACCAGCTATAAGGCTAGTGGGAGCACCCCAACATGAGGACTGGGGGCGGGGGGTGTCTGGGCCTCCTCAAACCTGGCCACACTGACTTTGCTGTTCCAGTGCATCAGGAACGGCACATTAGGCCAGCCTTCCCCCGCTCCTCTGCTAGCTCCCCTGGCATGGCAGAGTGACCTGCTCCAGCTAGCCTCTTTCAGGTTCTGGGGGTGGCCTGCAGAGCTGCCTGCCCCTCTGATCACAGGAAGGCTCGAGGAGCTAGGCCGAGGCAAGGGTCACCACTAGTCCTCACAGGATTACTGTCTGTTCTCACTGAGAACTCAGGAGTATGGCCTCTCCTCCGCCAGGCCTTTACACATTTAGAAACGTGGGCTTTGAACCCAGACCTTCTTTACCACTAAGCCTGGACAAAGGGATGGTCTCCGAGCCTGTCTCTGTATCCTCAAGGCACAGAAAGCTGGAGCCTCATGCTCCCTCGTGGCTGGGCTTCTCTGGGACTGGGAGCTATGAGTCAGAGTCAGCCAGAGATGAAGACCATCTCCCAGGAGAGAGCAGAAGTCTAGAACATGACTTCACCTCAGAATTGCCAACGTTGTGATTTTGTTTCATCGAGAGGAGTGGACCCGCTTCCTGACAGTGGACCAGCTGGCTCACCCAAGGGAGGACTTGTGCCCTGTCAAAACACTCACGGCATTCTTCACGATGTACTCCGAGGTAACGCCCTCAACCTGCTCCATGGTGTAGGAGGGCACATCACAACTGCAGGGCTGGCTCTCACTGGACATCAGCAGCTGGTAGTACTCCTCGTTAGCTAGAGGAGAAACGGGACCGTGGTCAGCAGGTGGGACCAACACAACAGCGCGCTGTCCCTGGCCCCTGCAGGCGCGGTCCATGTTCCCCAAATGAACAAGTGGGATGGGATAGAATATTTTGGATCCAGGGAGTGTAGACATAAGTGACCAGCACTCAAGAGCAGACCGGAGACTTTCTCTGGCACGCCAGGCCTGTGTTACAAATTTAAAATCTGATAAATACATTACTTTAAGTCATAAGGGTCCATAGGGCCCCAAAGCATGATGCAACCACAATGGTCTCACTCAGGACCCCAGCAGTAGCCCCTGCACCGGAGCCTTGGTGGTCCCTTTTGGGATTTCCACGCAGGCAGAATCCACGGCTTGAAAGGGGAACAGGTCCCAGAAGCCACACTGGAAAGTGCCGTGAGCAGCTCCTGCAAATGTGACCGTGATATGAGTTCCTGTCTGTGGGGGACTGGGGGAGCCCAGCCAGAGCAGCTCTCGCTGGACGTGGAAGTGAAATAGTTACTCCTGTGTCTACAGTTCCACATGCCCAGGCAGATGGAACCCAGGGTGGCTGTGTCCTGGAGTTTGACCTTGGGATCCAGCCAAGCGTGTGTTCCCTGCAGTGTGGTGGCAGGGTCTTTGGACCCATGGCTGGGTCTTATCTGATGTTGATTACTCCACCTTCACAGGCTGGTAGGTTTCTGAGCATGCTCTCTGCTGGAAAGCTTAGGAAAGTTCTTGATCTGGCAGAGCTCCCAAGTTCTGGAGTTACTGCGGAGGCCAAGCATGAAGCGTGGAAACCAACAGTCCCCAGAGAGCGAGCTGCCTCCGGCTCGGGCTGACTCACTGAGCTGCTCTTTCCACAGAGCCGGGTTTTCCTTAGGCACAGGCGCCAGAGCCATGGTCTCCACCGTGGGGTTCGGCCTTGGAGCACCAGGTTCCCAAACGTGTTTAGCCTAACCAGCACTGGCTGGCAGACAGCACTCTTCAGACCACATCCATCTTCCAAAAGGGACAGCAGCTGAGGGAGGAGCCCACCGAGGCTTCAGGCTGAAGAGACCACCCAAACACGCAGAGGCCAGCACACCGCAGAATAGCGCCTCTACAGCTGGATCCAAGGACCCAAGATCAACACCAGCAACCTGCCCACGACTGACAAAAAGCTGTCCAGATACTTAGAAATAGAAGACTGAAGTACAAGTTCATCCCTAGACTACTGGACACAAGCCTGGCCTACATGCTTGATGGCTACAGGACAAGCTGGGAATGCTGACTGTAAAGCCTAGATCACAGCTTTTTGGCTTGGTCTATTTTAATGTGTGTTTGTAACATGCAGTACTCAGCCTTCAGCACATGTGTGTGACTGTGACCAAAGGTTCACACAGGTGCCACACATGGGTGAAGGGGTGGTGGGGGCTTAATTTTCCCATCACCTGCCCGTGGCCCCTGCCCTCCCTACCCCAGTGGAATGCTCGCCTCTACCTGTTCACTGCAAAGGATCACACAGCCAGCGACATCCCCTACCATCAGTGGCTGGAAAGACAAGGGACTAAAAAAAGGACCTAAGCACTCAGCACTGAGTCAGGGCTGTAGAAAGATGTTTCCTCCACAGCAGAGCACCCACAAAGCTCACGTCCCTGTGCCCAGTAACTGACTAAAAGTTTCTGGGCCTTTCTTCCAATGCCTACAGCGAGGCCTTCCAGTATGACCATCCAGGGGACTGAGGCCTGAACCTCAGGATGGGCTGCCTGCTTTCCACCTGGTTAGTGTTCCCGGTGTCTGGGAGTCAAGGGCAAGTGCCATGGCCCAAGGACATGGGGAGCCGACCCACGCAGGTCCTGGGCAGGAGCGACTGAAGGAGTCTGCTGGGTGCTGGAGACCCACGGGCTCCCTGCACAGGAAAGCACCACAGCTCTTTTCCAGGTCCTTCTTTAGAAGCCTCAGTCTCCTTCCTCACGGGCCTGTCAAAATGTTCTGCCATATTCTGTCTCCTAAAAGTCAAACACACAAACAGCAGCAGATTCTGCTGTATGAAGGCCCCAAAATAGGAACTGTTGATGGCTAGAGCTGCCCCTGACTGTGCACGCATGATAGCGAGAGGTGTCCTGAGACAGAACCCGGTGACGGGGGGCGTTGATGTGCCCTGTCTCTTTCCTTCTTGGCTGAAATTACTACCAGGACAGAAAAGGTTCTGTAGGTAAACAGTTTTAGATGAACAGGAAATGAGTCACCTGGGTTGAATTCATGAATTAAGAAGCACCTTAGTGGAAGGGGCTGGAGAGATGCTTGGTGCTTAAGAGGACCAGGGTCCAGTTCTCAGCACCTACATGGCGGCTCACAACTGCTTGTAACTCCAGTTCCAGAGGATCTGATGCCCTCTTCTGCTCTCCACTGGCACTGCACACATTCGGTGCATATACATATATTCAGGTACACACACATTACACACACACACACACACACACACACACACACACCACACACACAGTGCCTGGGATTTAGCTCAGTTGGTAGAATGCTTGCCAAGATTGCACAAAGCCTTAAGTTAGATCCCTAACATCACATCAAACCAGATACGGTGGTACACACCTAATCCTAGCAATTGAAAGGTGGAGGCAAAGACTCTAGAAGTCCAAGGTCAGCCTCAGTTACACAGCAAGCACAGTGAGTTTGTGGCCAGCCTGGGCTACATGAGGTCCTGCCTTCAGAAAAGCCAGTGCGAAGAGCTGGCAACCCCCTCTGTCTCTTTTTTCAGGCTACAGGATAAAGGTGGACAAGACCTCAGGAATGTTGTATTTCAATTCCATTCTGACCCATGCAGCTCATAGTTCCATGTGACCATCATTAGCTCATGTGACCATCATTCTGAACTCACAGTCACTGTCCCAAACAAATGCCAGAGCCAAGAACATGCTAGACTTCTGCATATGACCCGATCTTACCACAAGAAGCTTACGAGGTACATAGACTTTTCCTATCCACTGGGTTTTCTGCCTATTTTTGGTTTTGCCTCTGAAAGTCCAGTTCAGTAGAAAACAGTGAGGAACCATGGTTCTTAACCGACTTTAACGGCATTGTATTTGTATTGCTTCCTTCTGCCATTTCAGGGATGAGTCTTAGAAAGCTGAGACTATTTACACTA